CACAACATAGTCTCTGTTCTTTCAGTTTATCTTCTATTGAACTCTTCAATAATCAGAGCAAATAAGCTACTATTTGAAAGCAACCATTCCTAGATATATAGCCATTATATTCTGAATAATGTAAAATAAGTCAAATATGTCAGTATATGGAGTTATAGAACAGTCAAGTGGCTTTTATTCAACATGGTATTGGAAGTCCTAGCCAGGGCAATTAGACAAGAGAAAGAAATAAAGGGCATCCAAACTGCAAAGGAAGAAGTCAAATTGTTCTTGTTTGCTGATGACATGATCTCATATTTAGAAAAACCTAAATAGTCTTCCAAAAAAAGGTTAGAGCTGATAAATTCAGTAAAGTGTAGAATACAAAATCAACATACAAAAATCAGTAGCATTTCTATATGCCAGCAATGAACAATCTAAAAAAGATATCAAGAAGGCAATCCCATCTATAACAGCTACAAGAAACAAATACCTAGGAATATACTTAACCAAAAAAGTGAAGGATCTCTACAATGAAAACTATAAAATACTAATGAAAGAAGATGAAAAAAACACACAAAAAAGGAAATATATTGCATGTTCATGAATTGGAAAAATAATATTGTTAAATTGTTCATACTACCCAAAATGATCTACAAATGCACTCTCTGTTAAAATACCAATGACATTCTTCATAGAAAAAAAAAATCCTAAAATTCATATACAATTACATAAGACTCCACATAGTCAAAGCTATCCTAAGTAAAATGAGCAAAGCAAAAAGAACACATGGAAGTGTCACATTACCTGACTTCAAAAAATACTACAAAGCTATAGTAACAAAAAGTGCATGGTACTGGCATAAAAACAGACACATAGACCAATGGAACTGAATAGAGAACCCAGAAATAAGTTTTTGTATTTACAGTTAACTTATTTTCAACAAAGGTGCCAAGAACATACACTGTGGGAAGGATGATCACTTCAATAAATGGTGTTGGAAAACTCAATAACCATATGCAGAATAATGAAATTAGACCCCTATCTCTCACTGTATATGAAAATCAAATTAAAATGAATCATAGACTTACATGTAAGACCTGAAACTATGAAACTACTACCAGAAAACATTGGTAAAATACTTCAGGACATTGGTTTGATACAGATTTTTTAGTAAGACCTCAAATGCACAGGCAACCATAGCAAAAATTGACAAATAGGACTATATCAAGTTGGAAAGCTCTGTACAACAAAAACAAAACAAACACTAAACAAAGCGAAGAGAAAACCTACAGAATGGAAGAAAATATTTGGAAACTGTCCATCCAACAAGGGAAGATATAAGGGATTCAAATGATTGAATAGCAATAAAATAAAATAAGATAAAATAAAAATCAAATTATCTGATTGAAAATTGGCAAAAGATCTGAATAGATATTTCTCAAAGAAGAGATACAAATGGACAACAGATATATGAAAAATACTCAACATCACTAATTATTAGGGAAATACAAATCAAAACCACAATGAGATATCACCTCATCTCAGTTAAAAAGGCTATTATCAAAAAGACAATAAGAATGTTGATAAAGGGGCAATGCTTATACACTGTTGTTGGGAATGTAGATCAGCCACTATGGAAAACAATATGGAGGTTCCTCAAAAAACTTAAACTAGAACTAACACATGATCCAATAATCCCACTGCGGTGTATATATCCAAAACAAAGAAAATCAGTATATCAAAAGAGATATCTGTGCTTTCATGCTTATTACAGCACTAGTTACAATAGCCAAGATTTGGAATCAACTGTGCATCAATGGATGAATGGATAAAGAAAATGTGGCATATATACACAATGAAATATTATTCAGCCACAAAAAAAGAAGGAAAGTTGTCATTTGCCACAACATGGATGGAGCTGGAGAATATCAAGCAAACTAAGCCATGCAGAGAAAGAGAAATATCACATGTTTTAACTTATATGTGGGAGCTAAAAAAATTAATCTCATGAAGGTAGTGAATAGAACGATGGTTACAAGAGGCTAGGAAGTGCAGTCAGGAACATGGGATGAAGAGGGAATGGTTAATGGGTACAAAAACACCGTTAGGTGGAATTAATAAGTTCCAGCCTTTGATACCACAACAGGTTTACTATAGCTAACAATAGTTTATAGCATTTTTCAAAATAGCTAGAAAAGAATATTTAGAATGTTCCCAACAAAAAGAAATGATGAATGAGGTGATAAATATCGTAATTACTCAGATTCAATCATTACTCATGTATGCTTGCATCCAAATATCATAGGTACCTCATAAATATGCACAACTATTATGTATCTATAAATGATTAATTAAAAATAATCAATTGGCTTTTTCTAAAATTTCTATTACAGATATCTGTATGGCAACATGTACTCTTTTCTGCCTATTACAAGATTAATATGCAACCAAAAAAAACCTGCCTCTAAATTGTGGGGCTTTCGTGTTTTTGATAAAGTTTAAAGGAATCAGAATTGCAGGAATATATGCTCTACGAATAAATATGTCACCATCTCATATTCTTTATCTAGAGAGTGGAAGAAATAAATGGGTATGCACAAATATTTCAGCACTCACTTGTGATCTATAAAGGGCTAAGATAAAGATGTATAATACATGGTTCCTGCTCTCAACAATTTTATGTTCTTAGAATACAAAAAGGAAATGATATATTTTAGAACAATACTTACACATTCTACCACTTTAAACGTGTTTTATTAGATGAAACATATAGCAATAATTTGTAACAAAACAACTCAGTTTGAGAATCTTTACCAGAGAGATAGTTTGCATAGATGAAACAGTCATCTGAATTTTAGCTGTAAACTGAAAATAAAATCCTAAGCACTCCCACATACGGAGCAGACCCCCTTTTGGCCAACAGAAACCCTCCCCACCAAAAAAACCTTAAAACCTGAATTCCTGGCCATAAAAGGAAGGGAAGTCAGATATACTTCTGACTTTTTGGAATATAGAACAACTGACAGGGATTCATGTTAAAATAGAGATTATGAAACTGACAAAACAGACTCTTTGTGGCAATAAGACACCAAACTATAACAAGATCTAAGGTAATGCAAAGCAAGAATTAGGCCATTAATCTTGCTACATCGCATCCTTATGTTAATTTAAAACGTTTCTTTATGTCCAGCCTGGGCAACATGGCAAGACCTTGACTCTACTAAAAATACAAAAAAATAGCCAGGCATGGTGGTACATATCTGTTGTCCCAACTACTCAAGAGGGCTGAATGTGGGAGGATTGCTTGAGGCGTGGAGGATGCTGTGAGCTGAGATCACGCTGCTGCACTCCAGCCTGGGTGACAGAGCAAGACCCTGTCTCAATAAATAAATAAATAAATAAATAAAATAAACTTCTTTATGTGGACTCCAAGTTTTAGACAGAGCCTTACTCCTTTAACCAAGTGCAAATTAAAGAATCTCTGAACTCATCCATAATCTATAAGCCCCCAGCTTCAAGATATCCCAGCTTTTTGAGCTGAACCAATGTATGCCTTCCATGTATTGATTTATATTTTTGACTGCACTTCCTCGCTCCCTAAAATGTATAAAACCAAACTATAATCTGACTGCCTTGGGATCACTTTCTCAAGACTTCTCTGGTTTGTATTTTCCCCGGGCCTCAGTTGCTCACATTGGTTCAGAGTAAACCTCTGTAAAATGTTTTACAGAGTTTGGTTTTTCTGGTAACAAAGCAAAAGAGATAGGCCTTGACATCAAGTTTGATTTTAGTGGTAAAGTATTAGAAATGATTCAGAGGTCTCTGGCTTGTACAGTTAGGTGCATGGTGGTATCAGTCACAAATAAAGTGAAAACTGGAAGAAAAGCAGTTGTGAAGGAAGACTACAGTTTTTATTAAACAAGCACCCTTGAGACACCAAAGAAGACGCATGTAGGCGCCAGTTAGGGTAGGAGGCCTTCCGAGCCTTATCTGTTGGATCTGGTGTGGATTGGGTAGAAATGTGCTGGGCTGCAGTTTAATTGGCAGGGGAGAGAGAAGGGGAGGGAATGCCAAGTGGGATTCTCCTGCTCTGTCCCCAGGAGAGGCAGGTAAACTGCTTTCATTGCTGGTCCGCACCAGTAAGGCAGGAAGGAATCTCTCTGGGTGAAGGGGAGTTTCAGAGACTTCCTTTAAATACTCTACTTAGAACCCTCAAGGTATTTGCCATTCTTGGGGAACCCCGAGTCAGGGCAAATTGAAACAATGTTCTTCTGATTCCTACTGCTCTTCCAGTTCCTGCCCTTCCCCATCATTAACTCCCAACAAATGTACAATGTACACAGATTGTATTTATGTAGATGTGGCCTCAGGAAATCAAAATGTCCTAGAATGCAGGTAATTTAAAGTCTTACCAAATAATCTTCTGTCCAGTTTTTCCACATGGATTCTATAATCTATTCAAGGAGGTGGGGGAAGAGCATTCTTTTCTTTATTTTTGTACCTCATTAGTAAGTCCTAACCATACTCTTCCTTAGATCGCTTTTCCAACTCAGTCTTGTTCTCACATTTTTAGAAAGGACAACGGGATCTTTAAATTCTCTCGGTTTGTGTTGGGAAAGGACCCAAATTAGTGTGCTTCCTCATTGACAGTCAGAGTAGCCTTCAAGCAATATATCTAGGGAAGGCATTTACACCTCCTCCCCCTCCTCTTTTTCAGTTTGGCATACTCTTAGCTTGCATTGTGCTCTCCCTGTAACGATGAGAGAAAATAACACACACTATTCACTCTCCTTTGTCTGCAAAGTCTGGCATTTCAGTGGTTTTCTTTAAGGGGGTCCTCATTTGTGACCAGCTTTGCCATTAACGGAAATCAATCTGAATGCCCCATTGTGCATCTTCTTTCTTTCCTTGCACTCTGAGATTGCCTTTGCCAAGTTTTTTCTCACTGAACTTGAAAGACCTTCTCTCATTTTCCCGTTCCCTGCCTCCAGCCCCATTGAATCCCTGCAGAGCTTTCTCAGGCATAAGGGCTGTAGTGTGAGGATTGGGAGGAACTCGACCTACTCCGCTAACCCAGTGGCCTGAGCCAATCACAAAGAGGATTGGAGCTTCACTCCGAGCGCTCCTTCCCTTCTCCTCCCTCTGTGACAGCCTCTTGGAAAGAGGGACACTGGAGGGGTGTGTTTGCAATTTAAATCATTGGATTTTTGCCCACTCTCTTTCCAAATAAGAAGGCAGGAGCTGCTTGCTGATGTGTAAAGGGTCTTCTGAGCTGCAGTGGCAATTAGACCAGAAGATCCTCGCTCCTGTCTCTAAAGAGGGGAAAGGGCAAGGATGGTGGAGGCTTTCTGTGCTACCTGGAAGCTGACCGACAGTCAGAACTTTGATGAGTACATGAAGGCTCTAGGTAGGTAACAATAGGAACGGCTGTTCTCTTCTTATCATGCTGCTTTAGATACTTGCAGATTCCATTTTTCACTCATCAGGTCAGCAAGAGGCAAAGACAGATCACGTTGTCCTGATCAGATGCTAGGCTATGCATTTTCCACTGAATGGATTTTTAATGTGGCACTTGTTTGCCTTCTTACCCAGGGCCAAAAACACAGAGTATCTGCTATTCTTTGGAGAAAGTGAAGCTTCTCTGACTTTTTTGGTTTTCTTCTGCATGCACTTATAATCACAGTAGTGTTTTACATGATTAATGGCTAATCATGTTCTAATGAAACTTACACTTTAGAACGTGGATTCCATAATCAGAAAGCAGATTCTTGCTTTGTGAGTTATTTTGAAAGTTGCTGCAGACTGTACTGTTCCCTTTGCTATTTTAGGCGTGGGCTTTGCCACTAGGCAGGTGGGAAATGTGACCAAACCAACAGTAATTATCAGTCAGGAAGGAGACAAAGTGGTCATCAGGACTCTCAGCACATTCAAGAACACGGAGATTAATTTCCACCTGGGAGAAGAGTTTGATGAAACCACTGCAGATGATAGAAACTGTAAGGTGAGAAACTGCTTCTTCTCCAGAGTGGGGATGGGGAGGGGGGAATAAAGATAAAGATGCCCAATGCATGCTTTTTTTTTTTTTTTTTTAAGATGTTGGAAAGTGTAGAATATTTTCAATATTTCAATCCAAGGAGAAATACACCAAAGTTAGTTTAGTGTGCATATGTTATATTTTGAACAATGGGTACTTGCTATAGCATAAATCTCAATTGTATTTGTCTCTTACCATATATTGTTCACATTTTATATCAAGCTTGTATTTCAGAAAACATTTAATAAAGTTTGTTTGAAAGAGAGAGTGCATTTTGTTTAATTCCCCAGGTTGCCTCAGATTGACTAAATGGGCAGTTTGCCTCATTCTAAGGCTTTCTTTAGAAGGACGACTAGCTACAAAGCACTAGTTTAGGATTTTTGTTTTTAATATATTAAATTTTTGTATTTAGATGTGTATTTTTAATCAAATTATGAATTATTCAAATTTACATAATAATCTAAAAGTAATAGAGATAGCAATAGGATAATTAATTGATCATGATTTATTCAATTACACAATTCTTTCAAAAATCACATCATTTGTCTTCCGTATCAGAAATCTGAATTGTATTTATTGCTATGTTTTGCATTTCATTGTTGGTCTCAGTCTGTTGTTAGCCTGGATGGAGACAAACTTGTTCATGTACAGAAATGGGATGGCAAAGAAACAAATTTTGTAAGAGAAATTAAGGATGGCAAAATGGTTATGGTAAGTAATGACAATTCTCCATTCTTCCTTGTTTTTTACTCCTCTCCCCACACCTTTCACCTCCTTCCCTCTTCCTTCCTCCCCCTTCCATTCTTCCTCTTTCCTTCCTTCTTTAATAATACATCACTGGCAAGGTTCTTTAACTATATATAAAACAGGGGAAACAAAAAGATCCTAGTTAATTGTGTTCTTCAGCTCAAAGATTTTGATTGCAGAAAAAGAGAACATTTCATGTGTAGTTAAAAAAATAAAAGTTGCCATTGATTTGCCTAAAACTGTGTCAAAAGATTTTTTTGTAGGGTAACTATGGATGTCTCTCAAATAAAATTTAAATATAAAGCCCATAATCACTGAAATATATAAAGATAATTGCTATTATAAGAGAATCTCAGACAGATGACTTTATAGCTTTATAAAGACTTTATAGCTGTTTCTTTAAACAGTGTATATTTTAATTTATAAAGTTACAAAAGTTCAGTGCAGATAATTTAGAATATAACAGAAAAGTATAACAAAAAAGTTAAAATCCCCTCTAATTTCTCATCAGAGATAACTTTTTTTTTTTTTTGAGATGAAGTCTTGCTGTGTCACCCAGACTGGAGTGTAGGGGTGCAATCTCGGCTCACTGCAACCTGCACTTCATGGGCTCAAGCGATTCAACAACCTCAGTCTCCCGAGTGGCTGGGACTACAGGTGCAAGCCACCAACGCCAGGTTATTTTTTTAATATTTTTGTAGAGACGGGGTTTCGCCATGTTGCCCAAGCTGGTCTACAACTCTTGAGCTCAAAGTGATGCTCCTGCCTTCTGCCTCGGCCTCCCAAAGTGCTGGAATTACAGGCCTGCGCCAAGGCTCCTGACTCCCGTAGAGAACCATTTTGTTGTTACTTGTTTCCAGTTTTTTCTCGAATACATAATATGCCTTTTAAACACATCTATTTAATACTAGGTGGCCATTAAAAATATTTTTTTCAATCACCCTCTTCTTACTTACTAGGAATTATCTGTAAAAGAGGATGTATTAGTGTCCTAAGGCTGCCACAACAAAGTACCACAAACTTGGTGACTTAAAACAACAAAAGTGGGCCGGGCGCGGTGGCTCAAGCCTGTAATCCCAGCACTTTGGGAGGCCGAGACGGGCGGATCACGAGGTCAGGAGATCGAGACCATCCTGGCTAACACGGTGAAACCCCGTCTCTACTAAAAATACAAAAAACTAGCCGGGCGAGGTGGCGGGCGCCTGTAGTCCCAGCCTCCGGGAGGCTGAGGCCGGAGAATGGCGTGAACCCAGGAGGCGGAGCTTGCAGTGAGCTGAGATCCGGCCACGGCACTCCAACCTGGGTGACAGAGCGAGACTCCGCCTCAAAAAAACAAACAAACAAACAAAAAAAAACAAAAGTGAATTTTCTTAGTTCTGAAGTCTAGATCCCTGAAATCAAGGCAACCCTAGTGCCACTGTCCTTCTGCAGGTCCCCTCCCTTGCTTCTTCCTACTTCCTGGGTGGCTCCTGGCAATCCTTGAGGTGGTTGGGCTTACAGTTGTATCACTCTGATCCATTTCTGACTCCATCTTTACAAGACTTTTTCCCTATATGTTTTTGTCCTAAATTGATCACACATAAAATAATTAACAAATAATTTCTCTAATGAGGGAGTAGTATCACAAACGAGAAGAAATATTATGCCTTGACCAAGCCCTCCTCAGACACTTTTTGTGTGACCTGCAAGGGTATATTGATGATACTGACATAGGTGGATAGGCTCATTCAATTTTGGAGGAGGGTGTGAGAATGCTTTACACAGTCCTTGTAAGATGACAGCAGAGAAAGTTTTGTTGTTTAAGACTGGGGACTCATGTTTCCTTCTCCATTTGACTACTGCAATGAGCACTGTTCTACGCTGAGATATTCATGCTTCTGTGGAGATGGAGGTGGGGAGCAGAGGGACAGTTTTCCTTTCATGTTAAAGGATATTTGCTCACATTCTTTGGCAACAATCGACAAAAGAAAGGACTCATTTCTAAAAGATTCGCTCTGAAGTTCTCCTTTATGCTTTTACCTCCATTTTTTTCCTTGAACACAGAAAAGTAGATAGCTCAACCGTGGCATGCATGACTATGATCAGGCAAGATTGAGTTCAAAAAGGAAGATTAAAGCAATAGACTACAAGGATACACTATACTCCTGAACATCCCATCAATACATGAAAACAATGAGCACTAAAACCCCCTAAGTTCTGTAAAGTGGCTTTATAGCAACTCTTCAAGTTAGATTTGACATTAGAGTAATGGAGCTGATGTTCCACATCCTATCCAGCTACCTACCTGGGTTCACATAGGCTAAGCCATGACAACCAAAGCAGGAAGAACATTTGTACCTTTACATTTTCCTCTTGAGTTTGGAACAAGTCATTCCAAATACCATCAGCTCAAATGATTGGATTTTCTAATGACTGTTCAAAATTTATCTAGGTTATGAATTGAAAACTGTTATGTAAACCTATTATACAACTCATTCACTTTTAAAGCAGATAGCTGAGAAAAGAATATAGACACTCCATTTCCCACACTTAATCTGCTCAATTACCCTGATAATTTAAGGCTAAAAAAATTCTTTTGACCTGAATCTAAATTGCTAATCTCAGTTTTTGCTTCATTCTCATTTCAGAGACATAAACTATATATTAATATAGCATCTCTTTTCAAGATGTAAAATGCTTATGCAGCATTTAATGTTTGTAAATGTCATTCTTTCGCATGATACTTAGATTACATATATGATGATCTTTAAAATTCAGTGACTGATGTTCCTGTATAAAAAGATTTGATTATCTTTTGAACCTTGCAGACCCTTACTTTTGGTGATGTGGTTGCTGTTCGCCACTATGAGAAGGCATAAAAAAGTTCCTGGTCTGGGCTTGGAAGAGCTCTTCAGTTTTTCTCTTTCCTCAAGTCTCCGTGCTATCCTATTACAGCACGGCTGATCATTAATTAGAACGTTATCCTTGGTGTGGAAGTGCAAAATCATGATTTAAAAGCTTGTTACTCCAAGCAACTAGCCCAATTTTAATCTGAAAATTTATCATGTTTTATAATTTGAATTAAAGTTTTGTCCCTCCCCTTTTTTTAATAAACAACTGAATATATTTTATAATTTCTTTTGGAATGTAAATCAAATTTGAATAAAAATCTTACATGTGAAATTTTGTTGTTGTTTTTAATATCATTAATCTGGCTAAGAACTCTATATTAAGACAATTTTAAGTAAAATAGTCACTCTTACAGCATAAAGTAAGGCTGAAAAAGGTAGCACTTTGTTTAAAATATTAATTTAAAAAATAAACAAAAGCCTTAGAAAATACGAAAATGCCACAGTTTTGGTTGAACCTTCCATGAAGAATCTGTGATAGTTAAATTCATTTGGCCAGGACCCAGAGATGCCTTGTACAGTGGGTTGGGCTATGGAAGTGGTGTCTTTTTTCTTTTATTTTCTTTTTTTGAGATGAAGTTTCACTCTTGTCGCCCAGGCTGGAGTGCAGTAGCGCCATCTCGGCTCACTGCAACCTCTGCCTCCTGGGTTCAAGCAATTCTCCTGCCTCAGCCTCCTGAGTAGCTGGGATTACAGGTGCCTGCCAGCACATATGACCAATTTTTGTATATTTAGTAGAGACGGGGTTTCACCATGTTGACCGGGCTGGTCTTGAACTTCTGACCTCAGGTGATCCACCGGCCTTGGCCTCCCCAAGTGCTGGGATTACAGGCATGAGCCACTGCGCCCAGTGGAAGTGGTGTCTATAGAAGAAACAGTTTGAATAAACAAAATGATGTATATCAAAATGTCTTATTAAAAGGTAAATATAATAAAAATATCATGTAATCAAAATTTCTTATTGAAAGGCAATAGAGAAAGGGAGTGAATTTTATCCTGGATTATAAAAAATGTTTCTCCAGATAACCAAACTGAGTTGGATAAAGTCAGTGAGAGTGCAAATGCAGTGTTGTGCATAAAGACACTGAAAATTTCAGGGTTGGGGGAGTAGGGCAGGATGAAGAAAGGGAAGGTGATTGAGTTGACCAAACCAAATTAAATACCTGTTTGTATCTGGCTAGGGTCTGAATTTGTGAAATACAAACAAACAAATATTATTACATATTTCATCATTTACGAAATACTTTTTATACATTTTCTCAACTGTACAATGTTTAGCAAGAAGGCAGGTATTATTTATTTTTACTTTACCAATAAGGAAATTGAAGGTTAGATTTGCATGTCCAAGTTCTCATGACTAGTAAATAATATTGAGAGCTGCAAATCTTGCAATATTTCCCTCTTTATCCTCTCCAAAATTAATATTTCAGCTAACTTTTCTTCTGAAACAAAAACACAAGATTTTATTCTCCCTGATCATTCCTTTTCTTTGTTAGCCTCTTGGGAGGCTAAGGAGGTAAATTTATTTCAGCACTTATATGTAATACTGTATTTATTTTTAATCAGCCCAGTGTTTTCAGCAAGTTTTTATAAATTAATTCAAAGTTCAATTAACTGGCTGGGCAAGGCAGCTCACACTTGTAATCCTAGCACCAGCACTTTGGGAGGCCGAGGAAGGTGGATCACGTGAGGCCAGGAGTTCAAGATCAGCCTGGCCAACATGGCAAAACCCTGTCTCTACTAAAAATATAAAAATTAGCCAGGTGTGATGGTGCATTTCTGTAATCCCAGCTACTCACGAGGCTGAGTTACAAGAATCGCTTGGGCTGGGTGGTGGAGGTTGCAGTGAGCCAAGACTGTGTCACTGCACTGTGGCCTGGGTGACAGAGAAAGACTCTGTCTCAAAAGAAAAAAAAAAAGTTCAATTAGCTTACAGCTATAAGTATGAGAAAATTTTCTTTTTTTTTTTTTGCCTAAGAGATGGGGTCTTGCTTAGTTGCCCAATCTAGTCTCAAACTTCTGGGCTCAAGCAGTCCTCCTACTTCAGCCTCCTGAATAGCTAGGACTACTGGCACACACCAGTGCACTCAGTTTACCTGTCTTTAAAAGCATGAAACAGAACATGAACAGGGTGTTGGCTCCAACTGTTCCGACAGCCACCGACTCTGCTTCTGGTGGAGGGGCTGCTTAACTTGGGATTTCAGCCTGCGCTCTACCAGAAGCTCAGATTCTGGCCTCTCTATTATTAAAGATACAAAGCCAAAGACGGAGATTTATCTTTAGTTCATTATAATGAAGCCAAATAACACTGGCACCAGTTTCCATAACAGCTGTCTCACAGAGTGAGGAATGAAAAGGTTTTTGGGTGGCCTAAATGGGAAACAAAGATGCAATGGTCTGAAAGATCAAGGGTTGCAGTGGTAGAACAAATGCATTTTAAGGGGGAATATAATTAACATGTTTGCTTCCTAAATTTTTCTGGGTAGTCGCAAATCATTTTTCTTCAAACCAAATTCTATTTCACACTGTCAATCTGTCAATGCACTAACTTTTCTGGTTTGCCGTCTTTGTTTTGTTCCTTAACATAGTTAAGAAACATAATTAAAGGAAAGGAAAAACGACCAAGACCAAAGGCAATTTGACCAACAGGCCCTGGAAGAACATTTCTGAAATGATACAAAGGCCTCAATGATACAAACTAAACTAAGCTAAGGTTGTTTTGTGAAGCTTCTGCCCTCCTTTCATGTGATTTCCCTCACCCAGATACACACACTCAAAATGACATGTATGTACACCTGGAACATGGAGACCTACAAATATATGCCCATGGTTGAGATAGACCTGTAGAGATGTTGGGGCACTGTAGTTTTTTGCTTCTTAGTGAGTATTAAGAAAAAAAAAAAAAAAGAAAGAAAGTGGAGTGAGTAGAAAGAAGGATGGTGTTTCTACTCACTAATTTTAATATACTGTACTTTTTAGGATTGCAAGTATTTCTTAAGTTTCAAAATGTGTATGCCTTGTTTTATGCTTACTGAGAAACTATTTCACAACCAGTTACTTCCAGTAAAGAATATTGAAATTGGAAAAAAAGGAGTGAAAAGAGCTATTTTTATAATTTATCCTTTTCCTAGCTTTCAAATGTTTGGACTAAAAACTCCTCTAAGTTGTTCTGTTAATCCTTACAGTTGTTTTCTCTCGCCAGCTCACCATTTTTTTCTGGCTCCATTTTCTCCCATACTCTAGAGGTTGTGAACTGAGAAACTCCAAGGACCATCTTGTCCACCACTGGAATGCACTCCGGTTCCTGCAAACTTTGGAATCAACCAAAAGCTGAAGCAGGACTTGGGCTGCCCTGGCAGGACTTGAAACCGTAAACCGAAAGTACCTGAGACAGGTCTCAATCAATTTAGAAAGTTTACTTTGCCAGGGTTAAGGATGGGCCAGTGACACAGCCCCAGGAGGTCTTGACATGTGCCCAAGGTGGTCAGGGTACAGCTTGCTTTCATACATTTTAGGGAGACTTAATACAGCAATCAGTACGTGTAAGATTTTACATTGGTTAGATCTAGAAGGGCAGGGCAACTTGAAGCTGGGCGGGGGGTGGGTGTTTCCAGATCACAGGGAGATTTAAACATGTCCTGATTGTCAATTGGTTGATTGAAAAAGTTATTATCAATAGAAAGGCTGTCTGGGTTATAAGAGGTTGTGAGACCTAGATTTTATCATCCAGATGAAGCCGTCAGGTAGCAGGCTTTAGAGAAACAGACCTTAAATGTGTCTTGTCAGACTTAAGGTTTGTGTTGATGTTAATTAGGTATGTCCAACCCCCCAGCCCCCTTTTTATGGCCTGAACCAGTCTTTCACGTTAAATTTTAGGGTGCCCTGGCTGGGGAGAGAGTCCATTCAGATGGTCGCCCATTCAGACGGTTGTGAGGGGCCTTCAAATTTTATTTTTGGTTTACAAAACAGAAAATGGAAGCACCTTGCTTCCCACTTCAAAACCCCTTTCATGAGACATGCTCCCATTAAGTTACATGGGATAGAAAACAAAGCTTTCTATGATGGGAAAGAAATACACTCTACAACATCTTTTTTGAGGTTAGTAATTATGGAAAGCATTTTCTTCTGTAAAGGAATTCCACGCCCTATAAATTTAAATTATTAGCTTGTCATCTCCAAGCGATCAGCGTTCTCATAAATGGTGAGAAGGAACATAGAACACAGAATCCAGCAGTTTCGGGATTATTCATCATCTTTGCTTACTCCTTTGTACACTTCTTTGCCAGAAGTATATTCAAAAAAGTTCCTTGGAAGCATCAAATCAACCACCTCTACTTATGATTTCCATGCATCTCTAGAATGCATAAAGTATGATTTTCAGACATGTTCTAATTCTAAGACCCTTCTCTTCCCGGCAGTTTAAAAAACAAAACAAAACAAAACAAAAAACCAAAAGGGGTATCTTTGAGCATTGGTTTTCAAACATCACAATCACTTTAACATGACTTGAAATGCTTGTGAAAACACAAACTGCTGGGCTCCAGCAAGTTGCTGAATCAACAGATCTAGGGTGGTGCCTGGGAATTTGCATTTCTAACTAGAGTTCCCAGGTGGTGCTGATGTTCCCAGTCCAGAGATAACAATTCCAGATCCACTGCGGTATCCAGAACTTTTGCTGATTTCCTGTAAATTATGATACTTCAGGGCTCTCTCTGCATCACCTCTACTGAGGAGCCCTCCCTGTTAAAGCTGGGGTAGGTTGGCCCAAGAAGGGAACCAGGATCGTTGAGATTTCAGCACCCCAGCATTTTTTTTAGTGACTGAAATAATGAAAATTCTGATCAGGCTCCTGCTTGTTTGCACATTTTAACCACTAGCTTTTTGCCCAATATTCTCCTTGTTTCCATAATGTAATTATAAACTGTTGATATACTGCTTCCTCGTCAAGAACAAAGAGGTAACTTCAGGGTCACAAAAATGTTTGCAGAAGGGATGAATACCTCGAAGGGCTTTGCAACCAGCTGCGGATACCTGGACGTCTAATTGCTCAAGGTATTATCTGAGACTGAAGAAACAGACTTTTCCCCTGGATTATTTGAAACTCCCCCTCTCTTATTCTCCAGCAGTATAAAAACTCCCCACTTTTTCCTTTTTACAGACGAATTTGAGAGATCTTGCTCTCCCTCCTTCTGGCTTTCATCCAATTGAATGTCTTTCTCTATCCCCAAGCACCAGTGTGTCAGTGTTTGACATCAACTGCACCACTGATACACG